TCTCTCTCTCTCTCTCTCTCTCTCTCTCTCTCTCTCTCTCTCTCTCTCTCTCTCTCTCTGAGTGTCTCTCCTTTCTCTCTTTTTCCCTGTCTCTTTCTTTTCCCCTTTTCACGCTTTCTCTTCTTTCACGACGGAACCCATGAAATCGCGTCACATTCGTACGCAATCAAGCAGTAGTTTCCGCCCAGGGGCCTCTTCTCCTCGGAGACTCGCTCCACTCTTTCCCTCTTTTACCTTCTCTCCAGCAGCTCGCTCTGTCACCCTCTGATCGTCAAATCGAATTCATCGTGGCGCATTAACAGCTGTCGTGGCTGATCGTGGATCGTTACCGTTTCGCCGGCCGTCCCGAAATACGAACACAGCCCGGCGAAGAGCGGCTGCCACCGGGGACACCATGACATACAAGAGAGAAACGACCAGCGTACCTACGATCAGCGAACGCGCGCACGTCCCTTTATTCGGCAACAATACGACGAAATGGCAGAGGCGGTGGGGCATTTCGATTTACCAAAGAACGACGAGATAGAAAAAGCGGCGGACGACCACGACGACGGCGGATAATGGTCGGCTGGCTGGTTGGCGGCCGTCAAACGTGCGTCGCGCGCTGACAGTTTCCCGCAGGGCGGGAAAAGAGCGGCGGTGGCATCAATTGAAAATTAATCACCATTGTGGAGCGTTCCGGGGGGCTATTAAGCGATGGGATCGCCGGCGAAGAGGAGGTAAAAGGCTTGCAACAAGAGCTACGAGCTATCCTGTTAACCAGAACCACCAACGCGCGTTGGCGCGCGCGTTGTTACGCGGTAATTGGTATCGCTCGCAGCGACGTCGATCAGTCGGTGGATTACGCGAGTCGGCTAGTTTTATTTAACTTGGCGGGTGGAGCGCCGTTTATTCGCGCGCGATAACCGTGCAGCGAAGAGAGTCGACCGGAGACTTATCTGCCACGAGAGCACCGGCGACCTCAGTTATCAAGTTTAACGCCGGTGTAATCGCGATAGAAAATACGCGGTCTCCCCCATCGGATCCTCTCTCTCCTCTCTTTCTCGTGAAGAAAACAGCTGAATCCTCGCGAATCTTCGCGCTCATAACACAAGATGTTCTTTTTCAAATTAATCCATTAAGGCCCAAGAGAAAACCGCTAAGGATAGGCTTTCAAAAATCATCTAAATTTGGGCAAAACGTCGAAATTTGTTAAAAAGTGAAAAAAAATTTGTGTTGGATTTCAAAATTTAAGATGGCGGACCAATATGACCAAAAATGCGAAAATTTGATAGTTTTGTTATTTGGCGAAAAATCTAACCAAATTATAAGCTACCTTTCAAAGGTGTTTGTTTTGGAGCAAAACATCATACTTTAGCAGACTGTAAAAGAAAAATGGTTTTTTTACCTTAAAAATCAATATGGCGGCAAAAAATTTTTAATTTTCATTTATTTCAATGAAAGTACGTTTTGAAAAATTTTGAAAAAATAAGTGCATATCCATACTCAGCGAACTCAAAACTCTTCCTATACGAATTTTCACTCAAATAGGTCAAAATTTCAAATTTTTGGGCCGACATATTGGTCCGCCATCTTGAACTTTGAAATCCAACACAAATATTTTTTTCAGTTTTTAACAAATTTCGACGTTTTGCCCTAATTTAGATGATTTTTGAAAGCCTATCCATCGGTTTTCTCTTGGGCCTTAATAAGTTAATACAATATTTGGCCTATGAAAGTCAGTCGCAGGATTTTAGTTTACGTGATTAATTTTCTTTTTGGAAGAACAATGTCTTGTAGTACGATATATCGCACGCGCCAGGACTTGCCCAGTTCTTACGTACGTTGGGCAATTTGCCATCGCTTGACCGACTCTGTGTATCCCGTTTTTCCAAATTTTCAATTAATAATTCCCCATACTTCCACTGTCGCATGATGTTAAGCATTTATTTACCTCAATATTATCTTCCTTTATTAGAGAAGAAAATCACTCACGCAAACTAAAATTCCGCTTACATTGATCAAATATCATACATTAATTTAGTTGTAAACTTCCAAAGCCATATTTCCGATGTTCTACTCCTTTTTTTCTCACGGTGCCTGGTCGACACTATTGCGCGCCGTTTACTACGGGGATAATAGAAAGTTTTTGTAATACCGTCTTTCAGATGCGATAACACTAAAGTATATTCCGACATTCACTGTCTGTACTGCGAATACACAGTTTGTGTTACGTATCCTACAGATTTGAAGTACTGACACTGAATATCGGAACGTACTTTAGTGTTATCATATAGATAATATTGCAAAAACTCCTTAGTAAAAAGCCACGCACGCCGCTAAATGCCGCCGCTCTTGCCGGGGAGAGCTCGGCCGATTATTGCGCAATGCGCGCATACAAGCCGCCGGCCGCATTCGTAGACCGGCTCTCTTCGTTTCTTGGCTTGCAAACAACTTACATAATACCGTATATTTATCCGGCAGCAGCGCGCGGGTTTACTGCACTACCGACACCGTTCGCTGCCGCGGCGCCTATTCGCACCGGCTTCGTCCGCTCGATCCGCGCCGCTGGAAAACGTGCCCATTGCGCGCACTTAATGCCGGAATCTCATTAAGAAACGTCCAACTGGACTTAACGCCTCGTTGGGAACGCAGCTAATAAGAAAATCACCGCTAACCTGAGCGATATAAGTTTGGTCGGGCGCGCGCGATCCCTTGAATTACTCCCGCCGATAATATCGCGTTTTCGCACGAACTCGCTGCGATTACGCCGCGCGAAATGGCCTTTAACCCGCCGAGATCAATCTACGATATATACGAGAATTATTTATGAGTGTTCTCACAACGCGCGCTTGTAATAATCACGGCTAATGGAACTGCACACGCGGAGCGATATATCGAGAATCGTCGCTCGCTTCAACTGTCGCGAGCGACTTGGAAACCCTAATTAACTGCGGAAGATGTTATTTCTACGAGGGTTATTCCGTCGTCGTTGCGCGCTTCAGAGATCGCCGACGCGATCCAGAGACGTGGCTAATGTCAAGAGACATTATTTCCGCGTGCCGGACTCTTTCTTCTTCCTTTTTGTTGTGTTGTAAAACGATCGAATCGTGACTTCCCCACTGTTGGCAGTTATTCATCGTGCGGAGGAGAATTTTGCGTGTCACCCACGCAAGTATACATGGCATGTAAGTAGTAAATTGCACTTTGACACCATCGTCGGCGAGAATCACGCGGAACGTGTCACGACCGAGTCAACAGCGGCGCGAACATCTTCCTTCTCGCTTTTGCGAATTTCGCGATCAATGCGCCATGCGTTCGCACATAATTGAGCTATCTGGGTGGTAACGGATAGACGTCAAGTGTATTCAAATCGACGTTAAACGCTGCGGTAATTATATGTACGACAAGCGCGTGGCACGTGTTACCCGCGATTAAAGCCTATCCCGGGAATGAATGAATAACATTAAATATCGCCGTGATTATGCGGCATGCCGACCTTTCAATGCGCGACTGACGTGACACGAGCGACGCGATCTCCTTTTTTCTCCCTTTCCACTCTCGTCTGTCGCAGGCTGAACGCGCCGCGCATCACGACGGCGACAATGTGTTAAGTACAAGGGAGCGTGTAAGAATAGAGCATGCGGCGCCAACGGACGGTGTTACTAACCTAGGTCAACCCAGGGAACCCGACGTCACCTCCCGTCGTCGTCTCACGCGCGCGTCACAGGGCGAGGTACGCCACGCCATGCCACGCCACGCCACGTCGTGCCGCGTCGGCCGAAAGATCCGCGCGATTGAACGACCTCCGGCACGTCGCGCGAGATCGATTTGTCTCACGAAGACGTGAGGTGGTGAGTCGCGTCAGAGCGACTCCTGGAGCGCGGATCGATCGCTCCGCGCTTGAGAAATTCGCTCTCCCGAACGCGGGTGAATCGCGGGGAGGTCGAGCGGGACCGCGTTCCTCTACTCCGTGGCTAAATTC